AAAAGAGCCTTCAGGGAGGGAGACAGGGAATTATTGAGGAGTACACAGAAGCAACTAAAAGTCAAGATAAGAAACAGCAAGGAGGTGTACAAGAAGAAGCTGGAGAGCAAGCTCCAGCAGAACAATATCAGAGAGGTGTGGTCAGGGATGAAAAAGATCACACGCTTCAAGCAGAAGGAGGATCAGACAGAGCCAACGAACTGAACACGTTCTTCAATAGGTTCAGTTCAGGAACAAGCTCAGCATCCTCCTCTCTTGCCCACAGCCAAACATAGATACCACCCTCCATTGACCCAAGGCTGTCCAGTCACACCTCAAATACTGTAGATACCACCTCAGTCATGGACCCTTTTTCTACATATTGGTCTTCAACCAAATCAGAAGATGCTGATACCTCCTTTGCCTCCCCCCTCTGCATCTCCAGAAGTCAGGTGAGGAAGCAGCTGGAGAGACTGAACCGGAATAAGGCTACAGGTCCAGAAGGCATCAGTCCCAGAGTCCTGAAGGTCTGTGCAGAGCAGCTCTGTGGGGTTCTGCAGCACTTCTTCAACCTTAGCCTGACCAAGGAGAAGGTTCCAGTGTTGTGGAAAACATCCTGTCTTGTTCCAGTGCCAAAGAAAACTCACCCATCAGTTCTAAATGACTATAGACCTGTTGCCCTGACATCCCACATCATGAAGGTCCTAGAGAGACTTCTGTTGCCCCACCTGACTAGACAAACAAGCACATATCAGGACCCACTGCAGTTTGCTTATCGGCATCGACTTGGAGTTGAAGATGCCATCATACACCTGCTTCAGCAAACTCACTGTCATCTAGAAAAGGCAGACAGCACTGTGAGAGTCATGTTCTTTGATTTCTCCAGTGCATTTAACACAATCCAGCCTGATTTGCTTTGTCAGAAACTCCAGAAGACTCAGGTGGAGGCCTCAACAATCACTTGGATCAAAGACTACCTGACAAACATACCACAGTTTGTGAGACTGAAGGGTTGTGTGTCTAACCATGTGGTCAGTAGCTCAGGAGCACCACAGGGGACTGTACTCTCACTAGGGCTGAGTACCAAACCGAGGTTCTTTTATGGCACCGACCAAACTGCACCAGTTGGTGTATATATTGAAACGTCACTCTTTTTTTGGTGTCAAGTTTCGGTATTGGCTGTAAGGTGTCACGTGGTTTCAGCATGCAGGCAGGTAAAACACCAGACATATGACGAAACAGACTACGTGTTTACACCCAGAGCTGTATAGAGCTGCCGCACCTATTCTATGTATAATGTATGTCTATGGTGCTGGTGATGCCCACAGACGGGTTCACGTGTGCAGTGCGGGTTGTCGAACGGCTCCGACAACACACGCGCAGAAAGTTGCTCCGTGTTTCTCTGCAAGAAGAGAGACGGCCAGCAGCTTCCTCCCCCCTCCTCCTCCTCTCAGCGTTAGTCAGTCTGTGTGTGTGAAACGGACTGAATCAACATTCCACGGCCGGACTCGTCTTCATCAAAGAACTCCGAGGACGGAGCTGTGTCTGTTTCAGCTGGTGAGTTTACGTTTGTTAACCTGACTGAAAAATGTTGGATTTTATACTTGGATTATAGAGCATGGACTTTGTTAAGTTTGTTAACACGTACATCGCGGTGAAATAACGCTAACTTTAAGATATTAGTTTGTAAATTTATTTTATCTACATAGCTAGCTAAACTCAAAAGCTAACTACAGATTGACAATAACATAAATCTTAGCTTGTAAACATGTGCTCATCCATCCAGTCAGCTGCTTAAACAGTTCAGCTAATGTTCACCGTTTAAGTTTATGTTCTCCTCACAGGAGGTTCTGACCCAGATGTGAGGACAGACAGAAAAGTGAGGTAGGGGCCACAGGACAATCAAACTTTGTTGTTAAAAGTTTGCCGTCTTTTCTACAGTGGAGCTGCATGGTGGAGGTACGTTAAGCTTTAAAAGATTTTGTTGACCAGTTAAACTTTTCTCTCTCAGCCTAGATAATGTTTTTTGATCAAGAATAACACAACCATGTTATTCTTGATGTTTTGTTCTCATGTCAATTAGGGAGATGATCAGAGCCCTAAACCCCAGAGAACCACAGAGAAGATTCAGGCAGAGACACAGAGGTGCAGAAGTCTGCATCATCCCTAACTTCATTGAATCCAGTGAACTGCTGGTGGAATGTGAGGGACAATATGTCAGTGCTGTCAAACTGACAACCAGGTATGTGTGTGTGCAACAAGCAACATCCACACCCTCAGAGTGAACATTTTCTACTGCTGGAGACACCATCAGCCAGAAGTGGACTTGTTTGTGTCCACAGAAAGCAGACATGTTGTTTCTGAAGAAAAACTGTTAAGTGAAAAGGTCCTCAGTGTGTAGCAGTGAGCATTAGACACTGACGTGTCACTTGTTGTTTGCAACTGTTCTTTTGAAATGGAAATTATTTGTTTATTTTAATGTAAGAAAACTGGAATAGAAAAATACCAAAGTTAAAAATAAAATTCACAATTTGTACTGTAATGTGTAACATAATTTTATTCTTGTTAGAATTAATATTAATTACAAAATTCGTACCGAAAAAAGAACCGTCCTGGAACCGACACCGAAGCGAAGGTACCGACACCGGTACAGATACCGATTTTTTTAGAAAGGTACCCAGCCCTAACTCTCACCATTCCTTTTCACTCGGTACACCTCAGATTTCCAGTACAAAACAGACTCCTGTCATCTGCAGAAATATTCTGATGACTCTGCAGTGGTCGGGTGTATCAGAAATAAACAAGACGCTGAGTACAGGGAACTGGTGGACCGCTTTGTGGCATGGTGTGGAAACAATCATCTCATCTTGAACGTGAACAAAACAAAGGAGATGATTGTAGATTTCAGGAGAAACAGGAGCAGATCCAACCCTATTTCCATCATGGGAGAAGAAGTGGAGGTGGTGGAGAAGTATAAATACCTTGGAGTTCACCTGGACAACAGACTGGACTGGAAATGCAACAGTGAAGCGTCTACAAGAAGGGACAGAGCAGACTGTACTTCTTGAGGAAGCTGAAGTCCTTCAACGTTTGCAGCAAGATGCTGCATATCTTCTATAAGTCTGTTGTAGAGAGCGCCGTCTCTTCTGCCATCATCTGCTGGAGGAGCAGCACCAGAGCAAGTGACTTAAAAAAGATCAACAAGCTCATAAAGAAGGCTGGCTCAGTTCTGGGGACTCCTCTAGAACCTTTGGAGATGATTGTTCAAAGAAGGAATCTTCATAAAATGAAGAACATTATAGACAACCCTCAGCATCCTCTTCATCAGACTGTCATACAACATCAGACTGTCATACAACAACAGAGTGTCATACAACAACAGAGTGTCATACAACATCAGACTGTCATACAACAACAGAGTGTCATACAACATCAGACTGTCATACAACAACAGAGTGTCATACAACATCAGACTGTCATACAACAACAGAGTGTCTTCAGCCAGAGACTTCTTCAGATCCGTTGTAGGACAGATGCTACAAGAGATCCTTCCTGCATCAGCATCTAGAACAACTCTTTAACGAAACCAGGATGATGAGTTACAACAACATTTAATTTCCCTCTGGGATCAATAAAGTATTTTTGAATTGAATTATAACAAATGAAAATAAAATGGTAATGAAAAGGATTGATTCTCTCATGGTAATGTTTTGACTATTGTCGACTCAGCTGTGTCTTGAACCTTCAGAAATAAACACTTTCAGCTGCAAACAGCATCCAACAAAACTTTCCTGACCGTGTCTTGATGTCGCTGCAGCTCCTACCTATTCTGTGCAGGTGTATCTGAGGTTTCCAGCTGATGTCCAGCAGTCTGCGCTGACGATCGATCTCTTCCTCGTACCGGACGATGTTTTTTTCAAACTCTGTGAATATTTCTTCAGCAGCAGCAGTTAGTCGCTCGCTGATAAACTCTCTCAGAGACTGAACTGAAGACATTGTTGCTGCACACACTCAAACATTCACCTCTCACACACACACAGAGCTAACGATGCTAACGCTGCTAGCGCCTTGTTGACTTCCGGTGGTGTCACACTGTGAAGCTCCGGCAGAAATTTCATATTTCCGCCATCAATAAGAACCAACTGTCGAAATGAAAACAGAATAGTAATGTGGTGATACCAAGTGGTTCTCATTAAAATTATGTGATTTACAAGGCACACGGTTCGTAGATCTTACAAAAATACTTGTGACATCTGAGACAGGCTTGCAAATTTATAAAAGTTTATTCATTTACATTTTTGGAAGTGACGCTTCTCTAGCCAGGCATATTTCCATACCGCTACAGTAATTTATGCGAGTTGGCACTAAACTTAATTACTTGATTTAAAAAATCCTGTTCTACGTGATTTCACATTTTAACAACTTAGTTTATCTGCAGCTTGTTGATAAAAACTTGATAATGATTCTACAGTAGGAACATAGAGAGGACACTGTCATTTTCCAACAACTGGGTCTTTATTTCTTTCTGATACTAAACATATTCAAAGAAAACATTTAACTATTCTAAAAAAAAAAAAATAGATGACCTGACTGAACATTGCTGGATTTTTACCTGGATTACTGAGCATGAACTTGGACCTTTCCCACTGGTATTGTAGGACTACAGTTTAATGAACTTCTGACTCCAACTTGTCAACTCTGAGTTTTAGCAAATTCCAAAGTCTGAGAAAGTTACAAGATTCACAAGATTTTTACTTTATTTTTACTTTATTACTATTCGCACCTTATGTCGAAGCAAATTCCTAGTTTGTGAACCTCGTTCATTGACATGGCGATAATAAACTGATTCTGCGATTACACCTCCTCACGTCTGATAAAAATACATTTTTTGAATAAATCTTTTTCCACTGGACTGACAGGAGAATGGTCTTTCACCTGAATTCTCAAATGGTGTTTACGTTTGTTTTCACTGTAACTTTTCCATAAGGTAAAAGTAAAAGGCTTTTATTTGGTGTGAGTTGTCATGTGGTTTTTGAAACGTTGTCTAGTTTGGTAACTTTTTCCACAAGTCTCACATGAGAAAGGTTTCTCAACAGTGTGAGTTTTCATGTGTCTGATTAAAGCAAAGTTTCGATTAAAACCTTTTCCACAGGTCTCACACGAGAAAGGCTTCTCACCGGTGTGAGTTCTCATGTGTCTGATTAAATCAAATTTCTGATTAAAACCTTTTTCACAGGTCTGACATGAGAAAGGCTTCTCACCTGTGTGAGTTACCATGTGTCTGATTAAAGCAATGTTTTGATTAAAACTTTTTCCACAGGTCTCGCATGAGAAAGGCTTCTCACCTGTGTGAGTTACCATGTGTCTGATTAAATAAAAGTTTTTATTAAAACCTTTTCCACAGGTCTGACATGAAAATGGTTTCTCACCTGTGTGATTTCTCATGTGAACTCTTAAATTATATTTGTTTCGTATTTTTTTTCCACAAGTCATACACAATAAAGGTGTTTTTTGGTCTATCTTTACGTTTGGACAGTCCACATAGTCACCATAAATTGCAGTTTTTAGATTTGTCTTATTTTGTTTCAGCTCTTCATCTCTGCAGGATCCTGGCTCTACATTCCTGCTTCTTTCCTGATCTTGGTTCTCCACTTCTGGAGCATTTTGTGAAAGGAGTTGGTCCCTGTTCGGTTCCAGTTCCCAGTGGTTTCTTTCATTAAAATCAGGAGTTACCATACAGGTTTCAGTCTCCAACTCCTCTTTTATCTCAAGAAATTCTCGTTCATCCTTGGGAAGTTCTGGTTCTTCTTGGTCCAAAATGGTGTTCCTCTCCTGGTTACAGAGCTGCTGCTCAGTGAGAATCTTTTCCTCCTTGAAGATATGATGTGGGAGTTCTGCAGACAGACAAAGGAAAGTATTGATTATTGTTACTGTAAGAAATCTTATTTCACTTTAATTATTTGATTAATTCAAAGATGGTTTGAAAGTTGCAGCTTAAGGTGATCACAGCTTGGCAGGTACTGAGACCACACCTTTCCTCAAACCTTCTGGGATACTGTCCGTCTGTTCTGAGATTGGAAAAGTGAAGCT